AAAATAATGTTGATCAAGGTCATATTAGGTCAGTGACCTACTCTGATCTTTAATAAGCGCATTAAATGTGTTTGTTGCAATCCCTCTTCTTAAACAAACGGGCATCATAAATATCCCTTAAAGCAGCTTTCCTGTAAAAAGATTGGGTTTGACCTCGGCCTCGGTTCACCTCCGACCAAGGTCAATGAAACTGGTCGCAATCCTACACTTTATTGTGTTTGCCACAATGACATCTGACACATGTCTGCGCCAGCCCTCCACACAGGTGTATTTCTGTCACATCACATACCATATCACTTCATGTCACGTGACATCACATCACATATCGTATCGCGTTGCTGCTGGTCCTGCATCGCTGCCGCTAACGCCGTATTGCATTAGCAGCGAGTATGTGATACGTGGCGGGGCGCTGACAGGGTGTGACAACTCCACCTGCGTCACGTTCGTGCCACGAAGACCACGGCCTGTCTCGGGGCACTAGAGGCCGGCAGCCACACTAAGTGCGCTCCACCTCGAGTGGGCAAGGTCGGGGTATAGCGAACGGAGAAAGGAAGGGCCGACTGGTCGTGCGGCATCTCGTATGGTCTAGACAAGCCTCTTCGTTGCAGATTTCGATGTGTGAAGCTAGCGATTTATACAGCGTTTTCTTTTTTTGTCAGCTATGAGTTCCGATTTCCCTGAAAAAAGGGCTCATGGTCAATTGTGGCATGAGAACACCAAAAATTACCCTTGCTTTGCAATTTCATATGACATTCAAGGACAAAAGCTGGGTTAAATGACGGTGAACCCGATATCACCCAAAAACTTCCCACTGATTTGAAAACTGTGAGCATCAAAATATTTAAAAGCGGAGAAAAAACTGGCGTCTGTCAAAAAGTCCTGACCTATCAAGGTCACCCTTCGAGGTCAAACACGGGCTCAAAAGACGGAGAACCCCGTACCACCGACAAATTTCCGGCCGATTTTTAACTAACAAACATCAGGCTATTTAAAAAAGAAAGAGATAGTTTTGGTCAAAAAGTTGACGTCTCTCAAGGTCACACTTCAATCAGATCTTCTCTCAGATCCAACGTGGGCACAACGAACGGGAACTCCATGTCGCCCAAAAATTTCCGGCCAATTTTTAACTAACAAACATGAGAATATTCAACATGGAAAGACCTACCGTGCGTCAAAAATCCTGACCCCTCAAGGTCACACTTCAAGGCAAAGATGGGCTCAAAGGAGAGGGAACTCCATATCGCCCAAAAATTTCGGGTTGATTTTTAACTTACAAAGATCAAAATATTCACCACAGAAAAACTAGCGTCCGACAAAATGTCCTGACCTTTAAAAGTCATCCTTCAAGGTCAAACACTGGCTAAAAAAACGGGAAATTACATCTGACCCAAAAATTACCGGCCGATTTTCGCCCACGAACATCAGAATAACTCACTCCATTTAAAACTTGCAAAGGTCAGAATATTCCCCACAAAAACAACTAGCGTCCGTAAAAAATGTACTGACCTCTCAAGGTCATTCTTCATGGTCAGACGCAGGTTCAAACGACGAGGAACTCCATATAACACAAAAGCTACCAGCAGATTTAAAGCCTGCCACTGTCAGAATATTCCCCACAGAGAGAACTTCTGTCCGTGAAAAGTCCTGATCTCTAAAGGTCGTTTTCTCAAGGCCATTCTTCGAGGTCAAACACCGGCTAAAGGGCCGCGGAACTCCTTTTCACCCAAGCCTACCGGCCGATTTAAGCTTGTGAACATCAGAATATTCACCTTAGGTATTTACCTGAACTCACCTGACCTGTTGAATATTTTGATGTTTGTAGGTTAAAAATCGGACGGTAATTTCTGGTCGCGTGAAGTTCCCCGTTTTCTTAGCCCGTATTTGACCTTGAAGGGTGACCTTGAGATGTCTGGGCTTTTCGACCGACGCTAGTTCTTTCTGCGGTAAATATTCTGATGTTTGTAAGTTAAAAATCGGCCGGTGATTTTTGCTGATATGGAGTTAAGTTAAATCTGGGACGGTAATTTCTGTGTGATGACAAGCATTGGAAACAAAAAAGAAAATTTTCGTAACGTTTTCGCCATTCAACAAACCGTTGTGGCGCATCATAGGACCTATGTCACTCTCTGACTACACCATTGACCTAAGGGGTGCTCATGTCAACCTGCGCTGTTACCTTTACGCTGGTATGGGTCGCCGTCGGTGCGAAGGATGTTTGCCACCTCGTGTCATGGTGCAGGGCGATAATGAAGGGCAGCTGGCATGGGGCAAACGCAGTGGAAGCGCACCCCATCGCCACAAATGCGGCTCAGACCTGGTCTGAAAGGATGCTCGATGGTCGGCGGTCTGTGCATGACATGATCGGGATGATTGTCGGACTTGACGCTACCTCCAATACCCGCGTTGTCATCGCTGGCAGGCGTTTAAACGCGCTCACGCATGATGACATGAGTGGTGCTAAAATGGGTTGAACAGTTGTTTATGGTACCTTCCCAAGCATTCATTGAGCAATTAGCCGTGTACGTTTGGAAGAATCCTTGTAAAATATTCATATATATGTATATACACAGATATATATATATATATATATAATATATATATATACTAATATATATATATATATATATATATATATATATATATCATAGCCACATGTGTAATGAGTGCGTGCTTCGGGTGCACCCGGTGAGGCGCCGCTACAGCCGGCTCATGGCTCGTCGGCGCCCTGGTACGCCTCGTTGGTGTGGACGTGTTTAGCGGCTGGCGCGGCGGACAGCGGCTGGCCATTTACATCGGCCACCGTCTCCGGCATCGGGCGGCCGTTAGTTTCGGGCAGGAGCAGGCCGGTCAGACCGCCCAACAGGGCGAGGCCGCCGAACACGGCCGACGGCGCGCTCTCGTGCAGCTCGCTCACCAGGTCCACCACGAACGGCGAGAGGGCGGCGCCCACGCGCTCCGCCAGCTGGCGCACGCCGCACGCCAGCGAGCGGACCTCGGTGGGCATCAGCTCGGCCGTGAACACGGACATAGTGTGATAGGCAGAGGAGATACCGGTCTTGGCCACCACGCCGAGCGCCAGCCAGAGCGTGGCGTCCTTCCGCGCGAAGGTGAGAATCATGGCGGCAGCCTGCAGCCACAGGACGAGGATCACTGAGGGCCGCCGTCCCAGCCGGTCCAGCAGGGGAAACACTAAGCTGGAGGGGATTTCGGCGAGGCCGGAGAACGCCGCCGCCAGATGTGGGCTTGCCGCCAGCTGCGTCGTGTCGAACGTGATGCCGAAGTAGGAGACGGCGGTGATGAAGCTGAGAAAGACGGTGATGAGTGTTCGGCGGCGCATGCCGGGCGTCCGGACCAACTTCAGCACCATTTGCAGCGGACCGTGGCCGCCGGCGGTCTTCGCAGTGGCCTGGCGGGACAGCGTGCTGCTCCGTGCCTCCGCCATGACCTGCAGCATCTCCTCCTCCGGCAGCACCTGCCGGCCGTTCCAGCGCGCACCCCGCCGCAGCACGGCACACGCCTCCGGGAACCGGTCTTGCAGCACCAGCCAGCGGGGCGACTCGGGCATCAGCCAAAAGTTGAACAAGAAGATAAGACACGGCACGGCGTACGCCAGCTGGAGCAGCCAGCGCGTGCGGATCAGGTACGAGCCGAGCGCGATGAGGCAGGTGCCGAAGGCGAACGGCATGAAGGTCATGAAGCCGACCGCGGCGCGCCGCTCGGTGCTGCATAGCTCCAGAATCAGCACCTGCTGGCTGCTGACCATGACCGACATGGCGGCGCCCGTCAGGAAACGCACGACCGCAAAGCTGACGTAGTCGGTAGCGAACGCGACGGTGAACGCGCAGGCGATCAGCAGCAGCATGGCCGGCAGGAAGACGGGCCGCCGGCCGAAGCGGTCGGCCAGCTGGCCGCCCACCACCGAGCCGAACAAGCCGCCGATCATCAGCCACGACTGCAGCAGCGAGAGCAGCGGCTTGCGGCCGCACACCAGCTTCCACTCGGTCACCACCGTCGACTTGTACACGGACCGGTCGAACACCCAGCGCTGACAGGCGGCGGTGGAGTTGGCCTCTCGGCAGCGCGGTGTATCGGACGGCAAGGAGGCGAAAGTGGCGTTGGCGGCGAAGCCGTCGGCGCACTTAAACTCGGGCGTGGCGCCGACAAACATCATGGACATGGAAAAGGCGGGGAAGAGCAGCCACAAGATGGACATGTACCCGATGAGCAGCGTTTGCCAGCGGCCGGTGCCGCAGCACCGCTCCAGCACGTCCTCGAAGAACACATCCTCCTTCTGCCCGGACTTCTCCTCAGTCTTCTTGCTCACCGCCGTCTCCACCATCGCGACCGCCCACTTGATCAGGAGCACTCCCCAGCGGTGTGCGCGTGCGTCGGGCTCAGCGTCGCGACACACTCCTCTCGGCACACTGCGTGGCGCTGGCTTACGCACACGGCAGGCTTGGGAACGCTCCGGGCCACGTCGTCGCACCGTCGGACAGGAGCGAATGCTTCGCGTCCGTCGTCCTTCTGGTCGGCAGAGCCTGCCTCTGCGACGGGGTGAGAGCGATTGGCCTTGCGGGGTCGATCTGCCGGCCACAGCGACCCGTCTGCCTTTGCAACAGCGACCCGTCCGACCGGCCCCAGTGGCGCCCGCTGCACTGCAGCGGCCGCTCATGGAACCTCCGCGAGACGCGCCTGTCATGCTGTTTAAAAAAAAACAAAACAGATGTGCGTCCATGCATAATGTGCTTGGGGTCGAGGATTAGCCTAAGGACAGGAGTGGTCACTAAAGACCTCTCCCAGTTTCCGTAACGCTCAACCCAACTGCGTATTCCGAGGCACAAGACCATTTGACTTGTCTTCAAAATATAGCCTTAAAGATGTGACTTGACCAACCGCCAATCAGCTTTGATTACATAAAAACGTCGGTTTCGGAATTATCAGTGCCTTCTTGGGTCGCTATCACGCACTGAACTTTAACTTAATTAAAGCGTAGCACCATCAATTGGGTTCGCGGCGCAAAACAAGTTGTAGGGCGGGGACGTTCCGCCATAAATCGACATGTGCCCCACACCCTCACCCCTCAGATTTGGATCAAAATGGGACACATCGGTTGTAATCAGTGCTGAAGTCGCCTGTGATATTTCGAAATCTCTCAGTCACGCCGTTACGGAGCTATAGCCCTCGGCAATTTCGAGTTGCGTGATTCCAAGGCGACCTCCGGTGACAATTTTCTCCACTTGCTTGGAAAGTAATGCAGCAAACCTATCTGTTGAAATAATAATACAAATATTCTGAATACTGTTACGCCACTCTTGAAATCGTCATTGAAAGTGGATAATAATCAGGGAGCTATGCACTTTTGCAAAACACAAAAAATTCTCATGTGATACTGATCTGTTCTCATTTTTATGTGAGGGAGCGTAGTTCGGTCGCCAAAGTTCTCAAATAAAAAACTGGTTATATGGGTGGAAGGCCATGCTTCATGAACCGACGGATCGTGCGTTACGCGGGAAGACTGGGCGCGCGGCGTACGGCCGCAGCCCCCCCCCCCTCCCCCCGCCTCATGTGTGCTCTCGGAGCTGGGGTAATTTGAGCGGGGAGAGGGTGGTGCGTAATGTATGGGTGGTGTCGTCTCTTATTTATGTGAGGCAAATCAAAAGTCAGACACAGATCTAGGGATGGGACTTTGGGCTAGCCCCGTTGTGCGGCTGTACACCTACATTTTGTTAATGGCTCGTAGCAAGTGCCTGGACTTGTAGTCGATAGCTTGCATTTGACCTGGCATAAGTAGTGCAATTTCTGCCCTAGAAACACAAAATTACCAATCGCGGAATCTGGTGAGGATCAATCCGCCGATGTTCTCCGCGAGCCCCGATCATTCTTTGTTTGGAAACAGCGGGGAAGGGAGGGGTCACATCGACCCATATCGATCTGCGTTATGGAAAAGGCTATCAGGACAGGGGTTGATTACATTTTACCTCAATGTGGTAGGAAAAACCAGTGTTTGCAATTGCTTAAAAACGTACAAACTATGCAAACTAACCCCCTTACGGGGCACGCTTTATCTGATTTCCTCTATGGCCTTTACAAAAAAGCATTTCACTTGTATCTTTTTTAAGTACATGGCTGGTAGCGAAGCTGGTTAAAGTAAGACGGCAAGGTAGCGATGCAATGTAATATTTGCCTTCAAGGCTGCCAAACTGAAACTAGACAAAAGTGCATGCGTTTATCATTTGATGATGAAGAATCAGTAACTCTCCTGATGCTGGCGCGAGGCGTGGTCGTCTTTTGTGACGCTCCATGGACATCGCTGACCTGAGCATAGCATGCGGTTAAGATCTTCAGCTGAGGGCTAGCTTAATTTGAAGGCACTCAACTTACCTTTGAAGCGGTTGCTTAAAGTGGATGCTGTACGCTTTCGACAACGGACCTTATCGCCGGTGAGCGCAATAAAAGGCGCTCCCGACGCTATCATGGCCGCCGAGCCCGCCTGAAGACAGTGGGCGAACACAAGGCCCGGCCGAGTTGGGGTCTGAAATGCAGCGGATGCGTGGTCGCGGGATCAGGCGTCTGCCTCTGCGCGTCCTGATCCGCTGATGAGGGGTCACTGTGCTGTCGCTTGTTGAAGTCCCCGTGGGAGATTGGCCCCGCTGTTTGTTGTATTTCTGACATCTGATAGCCTGAACAATGACAGGGGACAGGAATCAGAAGCTGAGAGACCTAGAGAGTTCGGACCTAGTGGTCTGTTCTCGTCTGTTCTAGATCATCAACGCAAGCCCATCAAACCTACCTGGTGCAGCTGGATTCTGGCAAGTTTCCTTCTCTCTGGAGATGTGGAAGTGAACCCAGGGCCGGCGTACGAGCTGAGAACGCTGTGAGTGTTTTGCCAGAGCGTCAGCAGTTTGCAGAACAAGCTATGCACTCTGCGCCCTCATAGTGGGGAGCTGGCTGGCTTCGATGTTGTCGGCCTGACTGAGACATGTCTCAGACCACAAGTGTTGAACTCTGAGCTAAAACTGGGCCTCTCGGACCATGTCTGGCTCCGGAAGAACAGGAACGGCAGTGGAAAAGGCATTGCTTGCGCAGTGAAGACAAGCCTGTCACCGGTTCATCGACCAGGGTTGAAGCCCGGCTGCGATGTGCTGGCAATCTAGTTGGAGACCATCTACCTTGTCATCATGGCTGTCTGCTACCGTGCGCCAGATGCTGACCGTGACTTGGATTCGATCACTGGCCTCTTCCAGAATATCCCCTCCCCCAACATTCCATTCCTCTTTAACTTTTTTAAGTTTAACTTTCATTCCACTGCTCTTAAGCTTGCCTGAGATTTGGTGACCGGGTTATGGCAACGAAGTTGCTCTACTCAGGCGCGCCGTCAGAGCCGTCAAAATCCTAGACTCTGTCGATGCGTGCAATCACAGAGCGGTGCAGTCTGCAACGTCACCAACGCACGGGGAGAATATCCTGGACCTCGTCATCTCTTATGGCGGAGCTCCTGTATCTAAGGCCAGCGTCGGAAAATTGAACTCAGACCACCAGTGACCACCACAGACCAGACCACCAACTCACAGACCAGTACAGTGACGACACGGCTTTCTGTAAAATACGGGACGGTCCCCGACGCTTCCCGATCTAAGGCTTACGATTAAGAGCTGGCAGACTTCAACGGTCTGCGCACTGTTGTCGGACCTGTTCCTTGGAGTGTTCTAAACGGTTTAATTGCTAATGATATCTCTGTCTGTTTTATGATCTTGCGTTGGCCGCCACCGCAGACTTTATCAGTAACTTGTTGAGTTCCCAAGATATTGCCCCCTGGCTTGGACGGTCCGTTCGAGACTTGCTGTCTTACAAGAAGGTGGCTCACAGGCGTAAGGATGCGTGCTGACCGCCGAGAATATTACTAGACACAGTGCTATTAGAGCCGACTTTGACCTGCACCTGATGGAAAATATCGCGAGTACTTATTGGGTCTAGTGCTAGACTTAAAGGACATCCCAAGGCGTTATTCGTCCTATGTTGAGGCATTGAGTTCATCGGCACATAAATCTCCCGTTCTTGAGTGTGATGGCAATGTGTCACAAGGCGATGAGGAACGCGCCAACTGTCTGAATATGTGTTTTGCTCGTAAGGTTTACAGGTTTGTCTGCCCGCCCTACCCTCATCCCAGCACAAATTGCAAAGCGTTCGTGAATCACAGACCTTTCATGCTTTCCTGAACACTGGTGGACACCTGTCTCAAAAGGCAAACAAACAGATGCAGCTTACACCGATTGCTCTTCAGCATTCACCAGCGTCAATAAACTTTTACTGCTGCACAAGCTTCGCCATTCTTTTTGCATCACTGGCTGTGCATACAGCTGGCTGAAGCAGTACTTGAGCAATCGTTCACAACGCGTACTGCTGGGCGGCAAGCGTCTGACTGGATTCGAGTGCGATCTGGTATCCCAAAAGGCAGCATCCTGGGACCGTTGCCGCTCGCCTGTTTTCCGGCTGATGTTCTTAAACAAACTGAGGGAGAGCCTTACGTACGCTGGTGATGTGACAATCTATCACCGGATCGAAAATATAGCAAATTTTCCCACACTTCAGGCGGAATGGGGAAGTCTTTGTGAATGGTTCAGGAACTGTGGACTGAAATCGAACCCCGTAAGAGTAATATCATCTTACTCAACCTGCGCACGTCACCTGTTCACTTCTCGTATAAACTAAACGGTCACTGCTTGGATAGCTGCGGGCAGATTCGCGATCTCGGCGTACTCTTGGGCATGAAACCGACCTTTTCCGACCACATAGATTCGATTTCCTGAAAAAGCAATTAGCATACTGAGCCTTGTGGTACAAAACGTGCTAATACCGTCGCAACCTTGTCAAGCGCGGTTCAATCGCAAGACTTTACTGCGTGCCTTCAACGCTCATGTAAGATCATTGGCAAAGTGCGGCAGCGCTATTTAGAACGGTGCCGCCGTTTCCCATCTCGCCCGGTTCGAAGGACACAACATAGGTTTCTCATGTGGTTGGGTTCCAGTACTCAGCCCCGGAGTCCTCCGCTGGGTTACGAGCCTATTCTCGCTTATTTCAAAACAGCTTCTATCAATGCACGCTTGGGCGCAGCTGGTCTTTTATTTCCCCTGGACTCAAGAGCATTTTTAATGGTTTTGTGAAATATCAGAATAGGTTATATCACTGGGAAGATTTGACAGCGGTTCAAATCTGGTGCACTGTTGACGTTTTTCTAACGATACTTCGCTTAGATAGCGTATTAGCGCGCCTGCCGGGAATATGTATGGGACCTTCGCAATTTTGCTACAGCCAAGTCGCTGAAAGGTTCACCACTAATGA